TTGTTACACCCCAACTTTCTACCTTTTGTGAAGCAAAACTGGTCAGAGTTCGTGGTGGAATGGTGGGTAGGGTATAAGTGTCTTATGAAATTTAAAGCATAAGCAAGCACTTAAACAGTGGAACATGGAGGTGTTTGGCAAGATTGAAGCTAAGCTTAAAAGTGTAGAAGATGAAGCTCATGCTCTTGATATATTAGTTGAAGAGAGACCATTTCTTGATACAGAACAGGTTAGAAGAAATGAAGTAAGGGGTGAAGTTTGTAGGTTAAGCAAAATGTTGGAATGGATTTGGTTGCAGAAATCCAGAAGCAACTGGACCTCTAAAGGTGATAGAAATACCAGATATTTTCACATATTGGCTTCTAGCAGAAACAGTAGAAATTCCTTGTGTTCAATTATAGTGAATGGATCCATGCTTGAGGAGCCGATGGAATTAAGGAAGAAGTTAAAACTCATTTCAAGAGGCAATTCTCTGAATCTTGGAGTATCAGACCTAGATTATCTGGCCCTTTTAAAAACATTGGAGGTGCTCAAGTGGGGGAACAACTGGAAGCTGATTTTACAAAGGAGGAAATTAAAAAGGTGATCAAGAGTTGTGTGGACAATAAGGCCCCAAGGCCTGATGGGTACAACATGTCATTTTTTAAGAAGTGCTGGGGAATTGTAAAATATGATGTCATCCAATTCATGAGAGAATTTCATTGGAATGCACGCTTGGTCAGTGGGCTCAATAGCTCATTTATTGCTCTAATTCCAAAAACTGATAGTCCATCTTGTTTGAATGAGTATAGGCCAATTAGCCTCATTGGCTCTTTGTATAAGATACATGCAAAGGTGATAGCAAATAGGATTAAACAGGTGTTGCCTAGGATTATTAGTGAGGTTTAGTCAGCTTTTTTGGGTGAAAAGCACATACTGGATGGGGTCTTGATAGCCAATAAGGTAATTGATGGTTGGAAAACTTCTAATAGAACAAGTCTGGTAATCAAACTAGACTTTGAAAAGGCATATGACTCAGTTAATTGGGAGTTCTTATTTTTTATGCTCTCAAACTTTGGTTTTGGAGAGAAATGGGTGAGCTGGATGAGAACTTGTGTGTCTTCGGCTAAAATTTCTGTCTTGGTCAATGGATCACCAACATCTAAATTTAGTCCACAAAAGGGTCTAAGGCCAGGTGACCCATTGTCACCATTTCTATTTAACATTGTAGCAAAGGGGCTAAATATCTTGTTGAGTAGAGCCAAAGAGTTGGGCTTAATAAAACGGGCTGAGGTGGGTTCTACTGGTATTATAGTTTCCCATTTACAATTTGCAGATGACACTATTTTTTTTTGTGAAGCTGGTTGAGCTTTTTTTTTGTAAAACTGAATGGGTGGAAATGGTAAACATTAAACGAATCCTGCGATGTTTTGAGATCTTATCAGGTTTGAAAATAAACTACCACAAGAGTGTCATTTGTGGTGTGGGGGTGGATGATGGGCTGATGCAAGATTTTGCCACTAGTTTCAATTGTCTGCACTAGAAGCTATCTTTGAAATATTTGGGGATGCCTTTGGGGGCTAATCCAAGAAGGAAAAATACTTGGAAGCCTGTTTTGGATAAATTCAAGAAAAAATTGTCTTCATGGAAGAGGAGGTTGCTTTCTTTTGCTGGGAGGTTAATTTTAATCAAATCTGTTATGTCCAACTTACCTATCTATTACTTATCCCTGTTCAAGATTGCTATAGGGGTGGCTAAAGAGATTGAGAAACTTCAATCAGCTTTCCTTTGGGGTGGATCTAATCTTAGAAAGAAGGTGCATATGGTGAAGTGGGAGGTCATTACTAAAAGCAAGACTCTTGGTGGTCTGGGTGTGCGAAGGATTAGACTTATGAATGAATGTCTTCTATTAAAATGGTGGTGGAGATTTGGGTCTGAGCATAAATCTTTGTGGAAGGAAGTGTTATGCAGAAAATATAATATAGGGGGTGGTAGTTGGTTACCAAGTTTGGTTGGAAGACGCTCAAAGTTGTGGTCTGATATAATCCACACTGTCATGTTTAATTCAAATTTACACAACTATTATCTTAATAGTGCAATGATTGTGTTGGGTGATGAAAGGAGAGCTCATTTTTGGTTGGATAAGTGGGCAGGTAATGTATGCTTCAAGGAGGAATTTCCCAGACTGTTTTCCTTATCCACTAACAAGCATGGTGTGGTCAATATCTTCTTTCAGAGCAGGGGAGAAGCTGGAAGTTGGAAAGTGGGTTTTAGATGAGCTTTGCTGGCTTAGGAGGAGCATGAGGTAAGTAGACTTTACACTCTTAGTACTGTACCTATTCCTTGTAGCACCAAAGCAAATGAATTGATTTGGGCGACAGTCTCATCAAGGATTTTTACTATCTCTTCAATTTATAATTGGTGTGAGTCTTTACTTGGGCCTAAGCTGGATATAGCAGGAACCATTTGGAATAATTGTGCTCCACCCAAAGTGCAATTTTTTGGGTGGTTGTCTTGGCACAGAAAGGTTAAAACTTCTAGTTTTTTGCAAAGAGTTGGTATCCTTGATGGGAATGCTAATACTGTTTGTGTATTTTGTCTTAGTGAGGTAGAAATAGTGGATCATATTTTTCTCTTTTGCCCTTTTGTTTGGAGGATTTGGTCCAATATTGTAAAATGGTGGGGTCTTCAGTGGGTTTTACCTGGTTCAGTACATGGATTACTGCAGTGATGGGCTGGGTGTAAAATGAAAAAGTTGGAAAAGCAAATCTGGGCAGTTCTTTCCTTAGCTATTCTCTGGTCCATTTGGAAGCATCGAAATGAGTGTGTGTTTAATGGTATTCAACCAAATTGGGATGAACTGTGTGATCTTGTTAAGGTGAGAGTAGTAATGTGGATTAAGGTTTCCCCAATGGTTGTGGTGTTCTCTGTGAACAATCTGGTGCTTAATCTGCAACAAGTGCAATACTGCATTAGGAATGGTGGTTGAATTTTCTCTACTATTGCTGGTTCTGTGTTAAGGTATGCTCTGCTGCTAGTATGATATGCTGCTGCTGTTGTTATTCTTTGTTAATGCTCCTGTCAGTGGTATGCTCTAATGTTGATATACTCTGCTGTTGGTCTGCTATTGCTGGTTCTGTGTTGAGGTATGCTCTGCTACTGGTATGATCTGCTGCTGCTGTTGTTGTTCTTTGTTAATGCTCTTGTCTATGGTATGCTCTGATGCTGATATACTCTGCTATTGGTCTGCTATTGCTGGTTCTGTGTTGAGGTATGCTCTGCTGCTAGTATGATCTGCTGCTACTATTGTTGTTCTTTGTTAATGTTCCTGTCTGTGGTATGCTCTGATGCTGGTATACTCTACTGTTGGTCTGTGGGGTTGCTACTGTTGGTGTATACTCTATTGCTGGCTGAAGGTTGTGTTGGACTGCTGTGCTCAGTTGGGGTTCAATATTGCACTAGGAATGGGAGCTGAGTATTCCATCTGTCAGTCTTCATATGGGAGGTGGACTGAGCATGGAATCTGGTGTGATATGTTGTTGGTGTGGAGTTTGATCTGGTGTGATCTGTTGTAGTTGTTGTGGAGTTTGGTCCGTTTTCTCGTTGGTTCCTCACCAACTCTGGAGGTGCTAGCAAATGATAGAATGGGTTTTTTTGTGCCAACCTAGTTGAGATGATTTAGCCCATTGTGATGTTTTTGCACTTCCATTTTCTTTATTGATGTATTTTGTTTTGTGCATTCTACTTGATTCTTACATCAATAGAGTTTCTTTTTTACCGATCAAAAAAAAAATGTATGTATGAGAGAGAGAGAGAAACAATTTTGTGGGCCTTTTTCATGCCAAAAAAAAAAAAGAGGTCAAGACTCTTTGTGGACTTTTATGCATGTTCTCTATGGGCCTCGCTCCTGGACCCAAGAAAATTATTAAAAAAAAAATTAGGATAGTGAGTCACTTTTCATAAAAAAAAAAAAATTTAAAAAAAAAATTATAATTGTAAAATATTTTTTTATTTTTTTTTATTCATTTCCAAAACATTTTTGTACCAAATCTCGACACGAACAAGTGCCTTAGCATTTGCCTCCTTCATAAAAATTTCACGAAACTCTTGTAATCAATATGTAAATGCTAGCATATGTCTCTAGAGCATTATTTAGTGTCAGAATTAAAGTAAAAAATGTTTTGAAAATAAGTTTTTTTTAAAATATTTAAAATATTTTAATTTCAATGAAAAGTGAATTGAATGTAGTAAAAAGTGGTTTAAATTCAATAATACCTGTCATGTTCTTTTACTTTTCTATGAAAATAAATAATGAGGCGGCCCCTAGTTTAGAATAGCTGCTTTATCTATTATTAATTTTCCTTAATTCTTATATCTGGTAGAAATATTATTGATTTGTGGTAGGCCATGATATTCAACTCACTTGAGCTTTCACGTACTCTGTTATTAACTATTTTATTACATCAAACACAACTCACTTGGTTGAAGTTTTGTCATACAATTTCCATTTCCGAAAAAAATTCATAACAATACAATTTTTCCAAATATTACCTTTGTTTAACATTTATTGTAATGACCAAAATGTAAAACCAATAAACCAAAAATTATTGTACGCTACACAGACTCTCTCTTTGATGCAGCGTAAAATGTAAAATAGTAACAATTTTAAAATCCGTTGATTTAAACAAGAATACTGAAAATAAGATTCTTTTCTAAACTCGTTGATTCACAAAGAATACCGAGAATAAAAGTTCAACAATAGTTGATTTACAAAGAATACCCAAAGTTGTAATAAAAGAGTATAAAACTCGAAATATATTAATTCTCAAAAACTAAAGAGCCCTAAGGCTTACATTTATTATTTATAAACAAAGACATAGCTAACTTAAATAGGAAACAACCGAAATTAATAAAAATCATAATGCAATATGGAAATAAGGAAATATAACAAAAATTACCAAAAATAGAAATATTGCAATACAATGAAGAAATTACTAATAACTTCACGATCATGGCAAATTTTTCGAAATCGGATTCTGAGGTCTGTGTTAAGAGTAATCTTAATTTCAAATATATTCAAAAAGGGCAAATTCACGAAATTGACCACCCAAATGATGGAATTTGCTCAAAATCCACTCGGATCCATCCTACTTAAAATCACGTTTTCCATTGACCCACTAAATTTCACGTGATTCCGAATCCAACCCGTTTTTTACCTTTGCCTTACCTATCCCTTTGATCCAAGAATTGTATGACCATACATGCCACATCACTCTCTCTCTCTCTCTCTCTCTCTACATAACAGTTTCAATTGCACACTACACACAATAGTGTGCATACTCTTATTGTACGTATAAAAGGTAGAAACTTTGCAGACACAAAATGAACTTGTGTAATCTTCCAACCTATACAAGATACAAGCGATATGAGTCCCTGCAAAACTAAGGACACAAGTTACATATATGCCAACACAATATCAACACAATCAACAGGTTCAACTGCTAAAGCAAAGCCTACTTTCGGCCTCACTAGTCCAAACCTCCTACTTTTTCTTATTTGGGACAACCAATTTGGCAGAACCCTTCCAATTTCAATTTCAAATGCTTCAAACCTTACAATTCTTGACTTCAATACCATGAATTTTCAAATGGCCTATTGACTTTAGAAAGTTGCAGAAACTAGAAAGGTTGAATTTGTATGGGAATGGTCTGGGAAGTGGGGAAGCCAACGAACTCAGTTTCATCTCCTCTTTGACCGACTGTAGAAAATTGATAGTATTGTATCTAGATGAAAATAATTTCGGAGGGATATTGCCTAATTCCATTGCCAACCTCTCAAATTCTCAATCCAACTCAACTCTTTTCAGCTGCAGCAAATGAAATATATGGGAGCATTCCAACAGGTATTGAAAACCTTGTCAACTTAAATTCTCTGACTTCGTATTACAACAAACTCTCAGGAAGTCTTCCAACCTCTATTTGTAAACTCCATAAGCTACAAGAAGTTGGTATTGGTAAAAACAAGTTGTCAGAGAAAATCCCTTCCTGTATTGGAAATTTAACATTATTGAACAAGCTTTGGCTAAAGCAAAACAATCTTGAAGGAAGCATACCTTCAAGTTTTGGAAATTGCCAGAATTTATTGTTTTTGAGACTTTATAGTAATAACCTGAGTCAGCATACCCCAAACATTGATGAATTTGTCATCTTTGTCGATATCCTTAGACCTTGATGATAACCATCTCAGTCGTTCCATACCAATAGAAGTGGGCAACTTGAGAAAGCTGGTTAAATTAAACCTTTCCCATAATGAGTTGTCTGGTGGGATTCAAAAGCAGCCTAAGTAGTTGTGAAACTTCGGAATACCTTTATATGGATCATAATTTCTTTAGAGGAACTAATCCACAATCTTTCAGATTTTTGAGAGCCACTGAAGTTCTAGATCTTTTGTGCAACAATCTCTCCGGTGAAATTCCCAAGACTTTAGGTACTCTTCCGTGTTTGAGGAATTTAAGCCTGTCTTTGAATTTCGATTTATGGAAATAATAAGCTTTGTGGAGGAATAAGCCAATAAAGCATGGTAATAATTTCAAAGCCCTTGTATTTGAGTTCATGCCAAATGGAAGCCTCAACACTTGGTTGCATCCAATTCCATCAACTGGGGTACATAGGGAACCAAAGAGTTTAAACCTTCTTCAACGCATAAATGTAGCAATTGATGTGGCCTCTGCTTTGGATTATCTTCATAATCACTGCCACACGCCAATCATACATTGTGACTTAAAGCCAAGCAACATTCTTCTTGATGGTGACTTAACTGCCCATGTGAGTGATTTTGGTTTAGCAAGGTTCCTAAAGCAACATGACAATGAAATTTCTCAGTCATACCAGCTCCCTTCAAATTAAGGGAACTGTTGGATATGCAGCACCAGGTAATGTGGCTTTTGTACGTATATGTATATATTATATGACAATTATCACAAAACTAATAATGTGAGATGTGTTGCAGAATATGGCATGGGAAGTGACCTGTCAACATACAGTGATGTTTATAGCTACGGTATCCTTTTGTTGGAAATGTTCACAGGGAAAATACCCACTGATGACATGTTTAAAGACGGCCAGAACCTTCACAAATTAGCTGAAATGGCTTCGCCAGAACAAGTGATGGAGATTGTGGATCAGGTACTTTTATTCAAGGTGGAAGATGAGGAAGCAACCAGCAGCAACTCTAGGACACAAGCGAAGATGGAGGTAATCCAAAAGTGCTTGATCTTAATATTCAGGATTGGTGTGGCATGCTCCATGGAGTGACCTAAAGATCCGATGAACATTTCTAATGCTTACAAGGAACTGCAGTTGATTAAGGAAATGCTTGTTGAGAATAATAATTCCAACTGATCATGAGGTAGGCTTTATTTTTATCGGTGCCTCATTTACATTGGCTAACTTGTCTTGATATTGCGAGGTTATGACAGATTCTACCTGAGTTCCTCAAACTCTAAGGTTCTATTTGTTTCACTAGAATGAGTTGAAATGGAATGGAATGATCATTCCTTAAGCTTTCATATGGAATGATCATTCCCTTAAAATGGTTAATGATGATTCCATTCATAATGTATTTTTGTGATTATTTTTTTTACTCAATCAAATATGGGAATGAACAATTTGATGGAATGTTCATTCTATTCCGTTTCATTCTAATAAATCAAACACTATCTAATTTCTTCTTCTAGATTTGCTTGTATGCTCTGGTTTTTGGTGAACTCAATTGTCCGACGAGTCTTTCTTTGTGTCATTGTTTTAATCAGATTTTGTTGATTTTCAATCTGTTTTAGAGTTCTGATGGATTAGGTTGATTTGAATTTTGATCTCCTTTTATAGATTATGAAACCTTAGATACAATTTTATACACACTAGATAGAAGTGAGTTCAAGATGTAAACCCTAACTTAATGTGCGTAAATCAAGTTTTAGAATGAGAAATTTTACCTGTTTGAAGACGATCGAAGTGGATTTGGATGATACCAATGCAGACGAAATTGAGAGATATTGACTATGGTTTGTGTTGTGAGTGCTCGTGCTGGTGGCAATGATTTTTATCAATACCGGTGGGACTTTAGTTCCAAACATATCACTGTGGTTCAGTTTGGAAAAATTTCATAATTTTAATTTGAATAATTTTAAGAGAGATACTAATTGCACACCACTTTGTTTCAAAGACAATCGTTTCTTTGTCCTTAATATTTGAAATAAAGTTGAGTCGAATAATGACTCTTAATTTTAATTTTATATTTCTAATTTTGTTATAATATGATCTTTTTGTTCCTTTAATTTTACACATGATTTTTTTCTGTTCAAAATTTTAAAATGATCACATTACAATAAAATTAAAAGTGTAAAAATTAAATTGTTCAAACTAAAACTACGGACCATGATGAAATTTAACTCAAACAAAAATTAGTAGTGTAATTTACCTTTTTATTTATAAAAAAAAAAACTATAAATCACTAGAATAATAAAAAAAATAATTACATTATAAATAAAATCTATTATGGTGCACTTCTTTAACACACGTAATAGACGTGCACCAATTATAAAAAGGAAGAAGAAAAATGTTAAATTATATGGATGAATCATTATTCCCCCAAATATGCTCTCCTCATAACATCCACCATTTTTTTTTTTAAGTAAGCCAATACACAACTGCCACGCAACCACTTAGTGTTCTAATGATATGTCCTCAACATTACTCTATTACATTTCTTTACCAGCCGACTAAGCAAGCTTCTCAAGAGGCCATTCGACGAAAATTTCCCCAAGACACAGAGAGAGAAAGAGAGAGAGAGAGACAGTAGTGTAGTCGGAGTGACATGTCATCGTCGTTCGCCGCCAGCTCTTCCGCCGTGACTCCGCCGTTCGACGACGACGACGACGGCGGCTACGAGCGGTTCGATTCCTCCAACTTCGCCGACGGCGAGTCGGCGGAGGAACCGTCCAACTTCTCCTCCTACGTCGCCGCGGCAGATGATGACGTGTTCTCACCGGAACTGAATGGAAATAGTGGCTATGTGGCGTCGGACGGCCCGATTCTTCCGCCGCCGGCGGATATGGAGCCGGAGGAAGGGTTGGCACTGAGGGAGTGGCGCAGGTAACCTTTATTATATATCAGTTTTATATATATATATACACATGTACGAGTTGATTCGATTAGTGATTGCGATAACGATGTAGCGTCGATCAGATGAATTTCATTTCCATGTTTTCTTGTTTATCTAGCAATTGAATCGTGGTCAACACTGAAGCTTTGTGCAAATTTGAATTTGAATTGTGATGATTGATGTGTATAAAAATACACTATTACTAATCATTTTGTACATCGATTGGTTAGATTTTATGGTGTCTCATATAATTCAGAACTCAATTATACATCTTTCTATTGGACTTTGTTGTGCATAAATAAATACATCACTAATAATCATTTAGTGTTTAACTTTAGTTGCTAGTTGTGGAGTCTGATCAAAAATAAAAATAAAAATAAAAAATAGCATAATTTTGAACCAATAATGTATAATATACACATACATATATGTAGATATTGATGTGAGATGCTTATTTGTATTTATGAGATACATGTACACAGATATTGATATGTATGTACCTTTCAGAGTTGGTTATGTGTTTTTTCTTTGATTGTTTGCGTATGTGCCAGATTGAATGTGATTCGATTGGAAGAGAAGGAAAAGAGGGAGAAAGAAATGTTGAGAGAAATAATCAGGGAAGCTGATGAGTACAAAGTCGAGTTCTACAGGAGGCAGAAGCTTACATGTGAGAACAACAAAGCTTCCAACAGGGAAAAGGAGAAGGTAATATCCGCAGACAAAATATTACCATATTAATTATAGCATTTCACTTTCATTTTTTGTTCCAGTAATTAGTTTAGTTATTGGTGTTTCTGGGTTGAGCTGCTATTTTGCCTAGATATGCTTGTGTTTGGCATTGAGTTGTAGAACTAGCATTTTTACCTTTAGAATTTTGTGTTTGGAAGTATGGAATCCATGTCTTCGATTTGAAATTTGAGGCCATCTTAGTACAAATTTTGAACTATGATAGCTGGTGATTCCAATTTTAAGGAGTGGATTCCATGTTGACAAACATTCTTTGCAGAATTGTCTAAGTACGTATGAAAGTAAGTTGCTCGAATGGACTTTGTTTGTTGTTGAATTGTAGCATGTACCATGGAAAGGCATTCTATGTGGAGACTGGAGAGTTTTAATATAGTTTGCGGGTCATCAAGTGCATAGGTAAAGTAAAGAAATTGCTTAATTGATAGGCTATCCAAATTTAATTGGGAACTGTAGAACATTTGGGTAATTAGGAGTTCATGTGGTGGATTGTAGACACCAACTAGTGCCTGTGATCCATTTATATATGTCATTATGCACTCTCCGAGCGTTTAAGCACACAATTCAGATTTTAGGGCATCTTTGAACTGAATCTCTTTCAGTGGTTAGCACTAAACTAACATTTTCTCTTTAAACTGCCACTAACAAGAAACTCAGTTTTGCCTGGATATATCAGTTGAACTGATATTTGGTGCCCCCAACAAACTTGAAATTTCACAAAATAAAACTAATATGATGTTTGAAGTATGAGGCAATGCCTAACTTGGATCTATATTGCAGCTATTTGTGGAAAGACAAGAGAAGTTCCATGCAGAAGCTAACAAGACTTGCTGGAAAGCAATTGCAGAACTCATCCCAAATGAAGTGCCAACTATAGAGAAGAAGGGGAAGAAGGAGAAAGAAAAGCAGCCATCCATTGTTGTGATCCAGGGCCCCAAGCCTGGTAAACCAACCGATCTTTCAAGGATGCGTCATATACTTGTGAAGCTTAAACACAATCCACCATCCCACATGAAGCCTACACCGCCACTGTTGTCAGAAACCAAGACAGATGCCAAAACTGGCACTTCACCTCCGGTTGCCGCCTCTCCTTCTAAGCAGGCCTCTGTTCCTGTTCCCGAGGCTTGAGAGTGTAAGTGGTGGCATGCTACATTTGATTCTGTTTGTAAAAAGAAGTTAGCATAAGCAGAGATGTTGAGTTTTGTATTATAGTGGACCTTGAATGTGTGGAAGTTTTAGAGATTTAGGGGCATTTCTGTATGTACAAAAGGCAGTCTGTGGCTTGTTTTGATTTTGTTGGATTTATGTCTACTCCATTGTAATTTTAATGTTCTGCTGTTCTTCATCCCCTTTTCCTTCTACAATGTTTCTGTCTTGTTGTTTTTGGACGATTCTTTTGTTTGAATTTTCATTGTCTTGCCTTCCTTTTTGATGAACTGGGTAATGTCACGTGTTTGATCCAGTCTAAGAACAGTTGCCGGAATTCGCAAAATAGGGAAATAAAGATCCACATGTGTATGTTCAGATAACAATTTATATATAGGAATCTCATTTTGCAATCAAATTAAAATTGAAAATTTTCATTTGTGGATAGAATGTACCTCAAAATCATAGCACTACATTTTAGACCAACAATGGCCAGTTCAAACTTGCAAGTAACAAGGGAAGAAAGAAAATATATGGGTTGAGATGTGGGCGTGACAATCAAATCACTTTCTTTCGGTACTTACTTCCATAACTTTCTATTTACGCAAACAAAGATCAGATACGATTGTGAAGCCATGGTGAGCAGATTTAAATATTTATTATGTGGAAAAAAGAATAGAACAGAAGAAGCTCCCAAAGAGAATGCCATTTTAAAGGCGCCTAGAAGAGAAAAAGGTTTTAAAAAGGTCACAAATTGACACAGAAAAATAATTTGGATTAAGACACTGTACTGTACATTAATCACCTAGGAAGCATCTGTGTCACACTATCCAACTGGCTTACAATAATAGAAGGATTTACTGATTGCTTGCCTTTGTTTGATGATGTCTCCTGTGAACTGCCACCAGCCCCATGCCGAGAGGAATTCGTGAAATAGACCCCCGGCTCCGTCAATAACTTCTCGTTGAGGATAACATCTTTGGAAAGCATCTCCACCACTTGCTTCATTCCAGGTCTTTGATGAGAAGCTGCTTGGGTACAAAAAAGCGCAACCTTGATGAACCGCGTTACCTCGTCCTCTGGATATTCAGTTAGTTCTGGATCAACAATGTCTAGAAGCCTACCTTCTTCTCTGAGCTTCCATGCCTGCAACAACATTCTCATTTCAATCAACACATATATGAAGATAATGACTTGCAAATCATGTGTGCGCGCTTCCATGTCTGTAACAACATTCTCATTTCAATCAACACATATATGAAGATAATGACTTGCAAATCATGCGTGTGCGTGTGCGTGTGCGCACGCTTGCTTTATCAATTTAGTTTTAACTTCTAAGGATCTTCAACAAGGGAAAACTTCCGGTCCTGGTTCAGATACACATTAAATCTATAGCCATTGAGTGAACTCATTACAATTGAGAGGGAAGTTTGTGCCGAATAAATGGACCGAGCTAACCCTAATCTGGACCTTTGTTTTGGACCGCACGATCCAATTTGGTCGTCTAGGATGTTGGATCATGTTAGGCGGTCAACGTGGATTGCGGGCCAAGCCAAGCACGCACTTTGGTGATGGGCCGGGCTTGGTTGGAATTAGGCCATCAACACAGACCGTGCTGAACAAGGAATAAGCCACGAGTATGGGCCGGCCTAGGCCAAGATGAGATCGCTGCCTAAGACCGAGCTAACGCCAGAACTAAGTGGATGGCGAACTATGAGGATTTCAACCGGGCTAGGCACAAAGAGTCCAGACGGTTGGGCCAAGCTATAGGAATGGTAGAATGGCCGACCTAGATTAGCCCGGTTGGATGTGGCAAAAGTGAAATCAACCCAAGCGGTTGCTCGGTGAGGGCATCCCACGTGGCCCAATGGAATAAAGAGAGGAATCCACTCAAGGTGCGCATCAATGCTGTTTGGCAGTTGGCTAATATTGTTTGGCAATATTGACGCGTACACGTGTAAGGAATAAAGAGAGCAGTACAGTCACGTGTCCAGCAAAAGACGACAAAAGTAGTGCGCATGCAACCTTAGGACGCAAGGCAACAACCTAGATAAGGCGTATGACCTCACACTCAAAAAGGGGTAAGAGAATTCTAAAGACTCACTCTCTCTCTACATTCCTTCTCTCTCTAAAGGGTTCTAACTTGACCATCGGAGGGATTTTTCGGCAACACACCCGCCGGGTAACTCACCGTCATTGTGCTTTTAGGAAGTAAGACGCCATTCAGAGCAAAGCAAGATTAGTAGCAAGGTGTACAAGCGACGACGAATATTTACTCCCTGTACAACAATAATAAAAATAATAAATAAATAAAATTTTAGCCATTGAGTGAAATCATTACAATAATAATAATAAATAACACCAAATTAGTACACATTAATGTGTGTTTGAAAAGGAAAAGATTGAATACACACCTAACCTTTGGCATAATGTACAAAATGGTAGCCTCAAGACTTGAACCCATAACCTCAAGGTTATTAGACCAAGTCTTAACCATTGAACCAATGATCACCTCTCATTACAATAATAATAATAATAAACAACAAAAAAAAAAAAGTCCCCTACAAGGTTGGGTAGAAAAGAGAGATTTGTAGGTGGTATCTAGACAGCCACTTCAAATGGCCTAATTTTAACAGAATGACAGAGAGTGCAAGGACACTGGAAACATAAAACACAAGACAGGGGAGAACATCACATTTGACATTGAAAGTCATCCAATGGAAAGAACTTCAAATCTGACAGAAAATCGTCCAATAATATAGATTGTGTGGAGACCCTAAATAGATATATAGCAAGATAATCCGCCATTTGTCAATAGCATCTCAACAACATAGAGAAAAGGAAGCATAAGCAAATACTTCTTGAAAAGTCATGGTGATAAAACTACAACCCCTTTCTCAGAGGGCCAAAAAAATTAATTAATTAATTAAAATTTTAAAAATAAAAATAAAAAATGTTCATAAGCTACAAAGCAATCAACTTCCCTCAAATTTACAGTACGAATACCTATGTGCTCCATTGTTTCAATATGAAATCTTCTGATGAGGAAAAAGAAAACACTTTAATCTTATAAATGCACCTCCAACTCAAGTAGTGTAACCCCAAGTTTTCAACCCTTTCGCATGTTTTCTTGACAATCAAATAAAGAACATATAAAATAGCAATATGGACAGTAATCAATATAGTAGTTCTAAAACCTACCCATTCCACCAGAACCAAAAGATCCCCTCCAAATGCTGTCTTACTGCTACTTCTGCTACTAATTATTTCAAGTACCAGAACCCCAAAACTATATACGTCTGCCTTTTTTGTAAGCTGTCCTAACAAGGCGTACTCGGGGGCTAGGTATCCCCTGCAGAACGTAAAAGATGAACGGTGAGATATGTAGAGGAAACAACAAATGAAAAAAAGAAAGAACAGAAAAAATCTCCCAGCTATGGTGCAAAAGATATATATATATATATATATGAAAGTGATAATCTCCCATGATCGCATGAATAACATCATGATTACATGACACAAGCAAAGTAATGCTAACCAATTATTACATTTTCTGAAAAAATATAACCATTTTAAGTCATTGGGTAAATTATAACAAGTTCAAACTTTCCCCAGGTTGCTAATAACAATAGGGTCACGAAATCAGCAATTAATTTCAGAGAAGGCCAACACTTCTTAGTTTTGACGGATACACTATAACACATCATTTTGAGTGCATACCATAGATCAGCAGTCAACCTTCATTCATCCCGTGAAGCAAACAACCAAAAGATAAGTTTCAATGAACTAAGTAGAAGCTGAAAACTCTGCCATTGTCAAAGAAACGCAAGCTATACCCATTTGACATTTAGCAAAGTCGAAGCTACCCAAATTAAATAAAACCCTGTATCTGGAGACTCTATTTTAAATTTTGTTTCATTCTCTAAGATTTAATAAAAGAAGAAGTCTACAAATATGGTTCACTTTCCATGCTCCAGCAGTCTCTATGTATGTAATATCATGTACTGGTACAGCTCATACTAAGAGCTTCTTCTATTAAAGTAGAGAGTCAATTCCAGACAATATCTTTCTACGACATCTACATTTTTTTTGGATAAGTTCTACAACATTTTCAACATTACCAGATGAATACTGAATCCTAGTAACTTCAACAGCTAAAGTCTTGAGTAATAAGATCCATGAGAGCCCCAATTATAATTTCCCAACATGCAAATAATCCAGGCAGTTCACCAAGGCATACAAGAATAAAATGCAATAAAGAATCATGCTTACACTGTTCCTGCCACTCGAGTACTAACATGAGTGACATTATCTGGAAAAAGTTTTGCCAGCCCAAAATCTCCTATTTTAGGATGGAAGTTTCCATCCAGAAGTATATTGCTAGCCTTTATATCTCGGTGGACAATGGGTGGTTCGGCTTCCTCATGAAGAAATGCAAGACCAGAAGCTGTACCCATACAAATAGCAGCCCTCTTAGGCCAAGCCAGAGTGACACATTTACTTTGTGAACCTGAAATGGAAATCTTTATACATTAGTTTAACCTAAACTTGATAACTCATTATACTATTACTAACACACACACACACACATACATATACATACACTTGCATGTATAACGCAACTACACTTCATGGTGTAGACAAATCCAAGACCTTAATCCATGGATTATTCTGAGAAAAGAAAAACAAAGAAAGAAAGAAAAAAGGAAGCTGGATGCTTCACTTCCACAAATACCAAAATTGGCTTGTCATGGATTATTTTACAAACGATAGTGAATTTTGAGAAAAAAGGTTGGAGTCCAAATTCTAAAGCCACAAGTCATCTCAAGATTAGTATGTATGCAGTCTTTTACAATTATTTTGCCCTTTAATTCACTCCAATTGAATTCAGAGTCACATCTAATTTCAATATTTTGAGAATTACCAAGTATAACACTAGCAAGGCTGTTGTTCTCGAGATATTCGTATACCAAAATCCGATTTCTACCCTCAATACAACAACCAATCAGTTCAACAAGGTTTGGATGGCGGGTATTTGAAATCAAATTAATCTCTGTCAAAAATTCATTGGTCCCTTGCTTTGACTGAGCAGATAGACATTTGATGGCGACAGGAGTACTGTCCCGTAAAACTCCCTGCAATTATATAGATTAAAGCTGAATAAGTACCAAAAGCTCCAAAGTATGCTTGCAAACATATCTGAGCAATCTACAATTTTCTTCTCCCTTCCCCTCCCTCCAGCAAGAGATGCTAAAGTAACTACATAGTTACCTGATACAATATAATTTATCGATCTTACCTTATAGACAACTCCAAAACCACCTCCGCCTATTCTCGTTGATGGATGGAAGTCCCTTGTTGCTGACCTCAACGAATTATAGGAAAAGAGCCTCACATTGTTGGTAGCAATCTCTAACCATGCACAAACACAAAAAATGCCCAAGAAAGTAAAGACAATGTGCAGAATATTGAAGTGGAATCACTACAATTTTTCTGATAAAAATTTGGGAGGAATCACTATTTATCAAAAGAGGGGGGAAAAATCACAAATAGAAGTGAAATAATTAAATGTTAAAACAATACTAATTCATTAACAACATGCAGATCTGAATCTTGGACAAGTTTTATGGTCCATATACCGAACAAAAGAAAACTTTGGCACAAGGAAAGGTTTCATGGAGTTGGAATATTTGGGTTATTATAGAAGCCTGTGAATGTTGAAAAATGCCTAGACCCGAAATCCTGATTTTATTTGTTCATGCAAACAAAATGCACGCATAAAACTTCATAGGACCACTCCAAAAACTCAGTTAAATTTTGGGCTAATAACCAATGCCATTTCAGATAATGATATAAATACATATATGGACAACATTTTTGGTATGCTTGGTTGTTAAAAAATATTTCTGTCTTCTCTTTCTGAATGGCTAACATACTGGTGTTATATGTTAAAGAATACAGAGGAAATACTCAACCACCTTCTCTTGCCAATATTTATGATCTGAAATATTTTCACCTGTGTTCATTGAATCATACCAATAATGGTGTTGGAGGCATTAGGCTTTTGGATGGGGAAGGGCTTGTAGGATGGTTAGACTGGTTTGAAGCACATTGGCTCAATGACTTTGGTGGTGACATGTTAAGCAAGTGGCACGGGGACACTTCCATGGGTGAGCGGTTAAGGCTGGGCATTGTATCGTGTTGGATCGTTTCGTGTCATGGCATCTCGGGTTCATGTCAGAATTACCTCAAAACTAACCTAACCCGTTTATTATTTCGTGTTATCGTGTCGTGTCATTTTCGGTCCATGTCCGGGATCTGTCATGTTAACGTGTTATGCTAAAAAATTTCACTATTAACTAAAAATATAAAATGTATGAAAAAAAAATTGAAAATTTCTTCACAAGTTAAATTTTATAAAACTAATCTCTATTAAAATGAAATTATTTATAAAAATATTTGATTTCAACATAATTTTATTTTCTTAATTTATAAAAATTATATTTTATTATTATATTTTTTACTAGATTAACTCAAAAAATACATTAAGTTCAATTAAAAGCAAAAACAAAATCTATATTAAACTTAAAATCATATTTTACATACTTTTCAATAAATTGAATGTAATTACATAAGAGATTAAAAAATTTCATGATAATCTTTTTTGGAAATAATATTAAAATATGTAATTAATTCTTAGACGAGTTATCGTGTCAATTTCGTGTTATATAGATTTGACACTAACCCGGCCTGTTTAATATTCGTGTTACCGAGTTGTGTCATATACATGTTCGTGTCAGGAAATAGTCAACCTTAACCCTCTATTTCATGTACGATTCAAGTCGTGTTATCATGTCGTGTCGCAAATTCCCACCCTTATGAGCCGTACAACTATGGAAGTTGAATTGAAACAACTGATGCTAAGCTCTTTGTATTTAAGACTTTCAAGTCAAATTTTTTTTTTCTTGATTTTCAAAGCGACATTAGGTTTAGGTAGGGTTCTTATAGCTTTCTACTTGTCCATGCAACCTTCATGTGGACTTGAATGCACCCTCGTGCTTTTGGTGAAATATTTTTCTTATATGAAAAAGGCTCAAACATCTCTCATATTCACACATGTTTTCCAAGTTCAAGACATACCTAAGTTTTTGAAGAATTTATGGGGTGAATAAATGTCAATCTACAGAGGCAAACATAAAGGCTAGGCTGGGTGAACATTATGCTCGCCTGAACTTGAGCAGTTTAATCCATCATTATTTAGATTGGCATGAGACCATTTTGCAGGCTCAGATGTGTTGGCATATCCTAAAGGGCCTATCAATGCACACCAAGCTATAGATACTTAAACAGATTCCTAACTCGTAATTGTGATCGATAGTAAAAACAAATAAATAAATAAATTGCATGATCACAGAGGTTATTCTCAAAACAAAGTTCTTGCCCCTGAAGCTTAAATTTTGAAATGCATTAAACTACATAGGATATTTAATGACTGATAAACCTTGGCCAACCTACACTAACTAAAAGTTCATATATACAAAACTTTGAACCTGAATCCTGTACTGCACACACCCTGACCATGACGTAGTTTAAGGGAATGGGCACCAAAGAAAAATGAAAATGTTAACTAAAATGTTGCGTTCGCTGGAATGATTTTAGGCAAGAACGGAATGGCTATTCTCCTAAATTGGTGAATGGTTCATTTCCGATGGCAATTCCTCTTTCTTTTGTTTTTGTTTACCTAACCAAACATGAGAATGGATACTAAACAGGTACACAAAAGACCATCCAGGACTTTCAAGCTGTGTGCAAATTGAACCGTTACATCAATTGAACCATATCCGTATTCAGGCCATAACCAAGAGTTGAATAGGTCAATAAAGTTCAAGCCCATCTCCCATAACTCAAAAAATCACAAACTTTTACGAACCAAAAAAATAATAATAATAAAAATAAAATCTTGCATCCAACAAATAAGTACTGCATACAATTACATAAAATCATATTCATGCACTTACCTTCTGTTTGAGCCTCAGATTTCTCTTTGCAAGAACTGAATGCTCCAAAACAACTCATCTCTTTCACTCACAAACACTTCTGATAGGGACTGAAAAAGCTTAGCTTGCAATCACATCTTCTCTTCAATCCAACACCTACCCAATTTTCCAACCACACAAACACTTATCTAATTAGTCACCAAAAGACACATCATTGACAATAACACCAAAACCCACATCGATCAAATCAAACCAAGACCAAACCTGTGTTTTTCGTGGCGATTTCAATAGAACCGCGTTACGCAAATAACAAAACCCAGTTGGGTTTGGTCGATTAAGAATTCGAGAGCGATTGCACGAATAGAAGAATTGGGAAAGACCCATTTACTAATTAATATCTAAATACAATATATATATATGTGTGTGTGTGTGTGTGAATGTGTATATAATATACCAGTATTATTTAGATGAGGATAGCTTTCTTTTCCGAGTTTGAGAGTTTGACAATTGGCCTTTCAAAAAAAAAAAAAACAGAGAGTTTGACAATTGAGTGGGACACGGGCAGCCACAAGTGTCCATTAACGATGAAGAGAGTGAAAAAGCGGACTTGGACTGGCGACAATGACTTGGGTTTCCTTGCTTCATGTTCTCTCTCTCTCTCTCTCTCTCTCATGGGAAAGTGTGTATCACGAGTCCAGATTCCCTCCTTGAGCCCCTCCTTCATTCCCTCCTTGCAGGGGTCTTCGGGTCCACTTTGAGGCCTAATTTTGATAATCCGAACCGTTCACATTTTTAGATTTATTCAGTATATTATACCTGTAAAAAATCAAGTTGATCGGATATCAGAAAGTATGCGTTCAGAAAATTGGGACTACAAACTATTTTTTAATAAACAGTTTTCCGAACACATACTTTATGATATTCGATCAACTTGATTTTTTACAGGTATAATATAATGAATAAATCTAAAAATATGAACGGTTCAAATTATCAAAACTGGACCTCAAAGTGGACCCGAAGGCCCTTGCAAGGAGAAAATGAAGGAGGGAGCTCAAGGGGAGGATCCAATTCGTGTATCACTGGTCAAATTATTGACATTTCTAATTCTTAAACAAGTCAGTTCTAATGAGCGGATTGTGAGCTCTACCTATTCTGACGTGATATTTTTTTTTCTTCCCGTTCATTAGTGTTTTATTAAAATATCAGACGACAATGCTACGTAGTTCAAATTTTGTAGTTTAAAAATGATTCAAATAGTTAAAACGATGTCGTTTTGAGTACAAAATAACATAAAAATGGTCAAAACGACGTCGTTTTGGCCATTTAAACTACAAAATTTGAGTTACGAAACATTTTTCAATATCAAAATTAGTATTTTGAATTATTATTGTTGATATTTTTGATTAATCATAAATTTTTATTATTTTTTAGAAAAATATTAACAATCTCAAAAAATTTATCAAATTTTTTATTAAATATCTGACATAGATGTTGGGTCCACACCATGTGAATTATATGTGTGTTCCACACTAACATTTGGTAAAAATTTTAATAAAACTTTTAGAATCTCCAATATTATTTTATTTTTTAATTACACAACACAAAATTAAAAGTTTTATTTCTATCATTAATCACTATCAAAAATAATACAGAATTCTAAATCTAGAGCTCTAATTTGAGCTATAATAATGTGACAAAATAAAAAAACAAGATACAAATATCATATCATGAATGAAGATCAACTCATTAAAATTTCACTAAAACTTTATATTTAGAACACTTGATCTTTTTCCAATCACCATATATTAATCCAATAACTTCTCGTGACGCTGTGTGTAGGGACGAAATCAAATTTTTATTATCCGAAGGGTTAAAAAAATAATAATTTTTTTCATCATATACACAAATACACATATATGTACAATATTATATATAAATTGTATATATACATACAAAAAAAAAATTATATACCATAGAAGCAATCTTTAATGGAATGAAAAAAAAAATTTAGTGAAAAATAAAAAGAAAATGCAAGATGAAAAAAGAATAATATATATATATATCAAAAATGCGCCGACCCCAGTAAACCCCACCTCCACCAACCCCCAGTGCCACGTAACACTGCAGAATTGGAAGAAAAGAAAAGAAAAAAACAGAAAATTGGCCAATGGAGGCCCGCCACGTCACTGGGAGTGTGTAGTTGTATATATATTTATACTGAAAGATCATTTCACATATAAAATTATATATATTTTTTTATAATACTATGACAAATAATATTTTTTCATAAAAACAAAAAGGTCCTGACTCTCTATAATCATCTCTTAATTTCGTCCTGACTGTATGGCACGGTCAAGTCCACGAATGTCACTTTTATCAGTTAACTTCCACATTCCCCTCTCACGCGCATTAACGTTTTGACCAATTTATGGACAAACAATCGGTGTATGAAAAAATTATTACAAAATAAAATATTTACATCTATATATATAAAATAAAGATGTGAAATTTATACTAGTAGAGTTGATATATAATTTTAAATTAATGTTTCATTCATATAATTTTTATTTTGACATCTATCTAAATGAGACTCTTACCCGCGAAAATCTCAATTTTATGCATTCAAGTTATAAAAATTATATACATGTAGCAATATTGATAATTTTGAGTTGGTCATTTTAACTCGTCTCTATGAATTTAATTATATCTTATATAAATTAGACAAATTTTATCCGATTTAACGAAGAGATAGGGTCGGAATAGATGCTATTTTCTTCACTAAAGTGTAGATGGTATAGGGTCACGAGATGCATTTGATCCCATTTAATCCCAACCCATACATATATATATATATATATATGACTATATGTAGAAGCCTAAAGAAGAAAAATAGAAGTCTAAAAGATTCAAACTATCCTACTTTTAAGACTAAGAAAAGTTGATGAAATTGTTTTGCTAACCTACAACGTAGGTTTTGTTAATAAGTTCTATAACAAATTATTTTAACAGCCTCCCTAATGTTTTTGGATAATGTAATAGGTTTGTAGGGTGAGCCAAAAATCTATATTACTGTTTTTTTAGTATTTTGATTTGGTTTAGTTAGTCAGGTGATCCATGTAGGTTAGAATGGCCACTCTGCATGTAAGAGGGGCTAATTTGAGCCCACTAAATTATTTAGGCCCAATAACCCAAGATTAGTGGGCCCGAATTTATCGCAAGTCCAAGAATCGGTGGGCCCAGATTTATCGCCATCAAACGGATTGAATCGCTCTAAGCCTCGAAAGGGTTCGGATCCACGAACCTAGAGACTTACTCAGGCCCGGACTCGAAAGGGTATTAAGCAAGCCTAGAGATCCGAGGCACTCGGACTCGAAAGGATTCGGACCCACGAATCTAGAGATCCGAAGTACTTGGCTTCGAACGGATTCAGACGCAATCTAGAAGTCGCTCCGTTAATGAGTCCCAGAACACTTGCGGGCTCGGAGCTTTCCGGGATCTACGCACCAGAACCATGGGCGTAATGGAGTCCGAACAAAGGACCCGATCCCGAGGACAGTGAGTGGAGACCCTTCTTGGCGTTGCTGGAAGCTGGTGCTGGTGCTGGCCTGCCGTGGCAGTGGCGTGGGTCTTCGATGGTGTTGCTTGGAGCTGCGCCGACCAGCATGCAAATGGCGTTAGCCTCAGATTTGTTGAAGAACAAAAAGCCTGGGTTGGTCTCTGTTTTAGAGAGAGGGGCGGCTGAGTATAGGGTTTGATAAAAAGAGACTAGGTCAAAAATTTATGG